CCTCTGCCAGCGCTTCACTCCTGGTTTTAACTCCGCCTACTCCCCCCCAGCCCTGATTTTGCCCTTTAGCCCCTCTCCTAATCCTGCCTCCAGCTGCTTGACACCCCTGACCACTCAATTTCTGCCCCCTGCTCAGACCCTGGCCACCCCCCTGCTCTGATTTGCCCCCTTTAAATTAAATATGAATTAATGGAGATATCCTATCTCCTAGAACTAGAAGGGACCTTGAAAAGTCATCAAGTCCAGCCCCCTGCCTTCACTAGTAGGACCAAGTACTGATTTTGCCCCAGATCCCCAAGTGGCCCCCTCAAGGATTGAGCTCACAACCCTGGGTTTAGCAGGCCAATGCTCAAACCACTGAGCTATCCCTCCCCCTTTTTAACCCCTGTAAATAGCCGTCAGCAGATTTTTACGGCTAATAAGGGCAGGGTGAAGGGCAGTGGCTTCAGCAGATGTTACTGAACATGCTCAGTTCATGTGACCATACACAAAAGCCACTTTGCTCAAATAAAAATGCCTCTTGCCCCCCCAACAAACTATTTTGCCAAGCAGTGGTGTCTCAGTGCCACTGGAGTAACTGTTACCCCCTCTGTCCCTGCTTGTGCCAGGGTTTTGCCCTCTGACACCCTCTGCCAGTGCCTCACTCCTGGGCTTAACTCCACCTCCTCCCCCCCCATTCCTGATTTTGCCCTTTAGCCCCTCTCCTACTGCTGCCTCCAGCTGCTTGACCCCCCAGACCAGTAAATTTTCACCCCCTGCTCAGAACCTGGCCACCCCCCTGCTCCGATTCGCCCACTTGGCCCCTTTTTAACCCCTGTCAAAAGCAGTCTGCAGAATCTTACGGCTAATAAGGGCAAGGTGAAGGGCAGTGGCGTCAGCAGATGTACTGAGCATGCTCAGTACACCATAAGTAGCACATTCCTGTGGAGAGCAATTTAATACACTACACCGGCTCTGATCAGTGCTGGGCAGCTGCCGAGCTGTGATTGTCCTTCTTTCTTCCCCTTCCTCTCCCGAGCGTCAACATTTCTCCCGCTCCCTAACCACAACTGAAAACTATCACCACCACCAGCAGCAAAACAGGTAACCACCCCCTGCTCGCTCCCTTGTCCAGGAGGGCAGCGCCCCTCCGCACCCGTGGTGGTGGTGGGGTTGTGAACTCTGGCAGGACGGTGACTGTTCACACAAGGGTATAATGGGGCCCCCCCAGTCCCGACTAGGACTTTGGCCACGACCATAATACTTAACAAGGGTGACAAGGAACCAGGTCTGCAATGGGCAGTGGGGGGCCCGGCGGGGCTTTAACGCCGCAGCCCTGGGCACGGAGCACCCCCATCCGGAGAAGAGCAGTTTGATCGGGGAGCACATCCTGCGGCTGGGGGCCTGGGGATGATGAGTGCAGGCTTCGGGCAGGGCTTCAGCTGCTGTTAGTGAGCATGTGCGGCCCCTCCAGGCATGCTCAGCAATACAAAGGAAGCCACAGCGACTGGAGAGGGCAGAGTCAGACACCAGATCAGGCTCGCTGCCGAGGTCCAGGGGAGGCAGCGCGGGGTGCTGGCCACAGGGGCTCACTCTGCAGGTGAGGACAGACTGACACAGGCCGGGTGGGCAGGACAGCAGACTCATTGCAGTGGGGGGCAGGCAGAGGCGTAGCGAGCGCCCTCTGTACCCTCTGACCGGAGGGGGCCCCGCAAGGAAGGGGGCCCCTAAAAGTGGCAAAATAAATACTGCATTCCAGTTTCTGCATTGTAAGGGGCCCCGCCCGGACATATGTTCGGAGGGGGCCACGTTCTTTGTTGCTACGGCCCTGGGGGCAGGCTCTGCAGAGTTGCGGAGAAACTCAGATTCTTAAAGGGGGGCAGACTGGCTGAGTCTTGGAAAGGAGGAGACAGACAGACCGGCTTCCTGAGAGTGACTGAGGGGGTGGTGTGTGGAGCTCACGGGGGTCGGGGGAGACACTGAGTTTCTGAGCAGTGTGGTTGTAGCAGATTTTCATAGATTCATAGATTCTAGGACTGGAAGGGACCTCAAGAGGTCATCGAGTCCAGTCCCCTGCCCGCATGGCAGGACCAAATACTGTCTAGACCATCCCTGATAGGGATTTTGTCCCTTCCCCATCCCCTGTAAGGCTCATGTGATGCTGTTATCTCTGGGCTGGAGCTGTTCACACAATGTGCAAATCAGCATGTTCTCAAGAGAGCCTGTGCTCTGTGCTGTTTCAATTATTTCCATACTATGTGTACTCAGGGCAAAACCTGTTAGAAAGTAGCTTTGCATTAACAGGACTCACAATCCACTGTTGGTGAGTAGGGGTGCCAATGCCATCCGCTTCTGTTGAATCGAATCTTTAATTTATAGAAGAATTTAGTTTCTAGCCCTTATGATTATGAAGACAACCTCCCAAAGCTGAGCCAAGTGTAACCATTGCAGCGTTGAAGTCTTATGTCCTCAGATATGCCATTCCAGGGGGAGGGATAGCTCAGTGGTTTGAGCATTGGTCTGCTTAAACCAGGGGTCTCAAACTCAAATGACCATGAGGACTAGTACATTGGCCCGAGGGCCGCATTACTGACACCTCCCCCCCGCTGCCCTCGGCCCCACCCCCACTCCACCCCTTCCATGAGGCCCTGCCCCGCCTCTTCCCACCCCTTCCCTGCCCCCATTCCAACCCCTTCCCTGAAATCCCCACCCCAACTCTGCCGCCTCCCTGCCCCCAGGGGGTGCAGGAGGGGTGTGGTGGGGGCTCAGGGCAGGGAATTGGGGTGTGGGGTGCAGGAGGGGTGAGGGGTACAGCAAGGGGTCAGGGTGCAGGGGGCTCAGGGCAGGGGGTTGGGATGCAAGAGGGGCGCAGGATGCGGCAGGGGGATCAGGGCAGTGGGTTGGGGTGCAAGAGGAGTGTGGGGTGGGGCAGGGGGCTCAGGGCAGGGGGTTTGGCTGCAGGAGGGGTTCGGGGGGCAGGATCTGGCCTGGCGTTTCTGCCCTGCCCCTGCAAGAGGCTGGAACATGGGGAAGGGGGGGCGGAGGGGCTGTGTGTTTCTGTTGCTTGAGGCACTGCCTCCAGCAGCTCCCATTGGCCGCGGTTCCGTTCCCGGCCAATTGGAGCTGCTGGGGGCGCTGCCTGAAGCAACAGCCACACACAGCCCCTCCACCCCCCCTTCCCCACGTTCCAGCCTCTTCCCGGAGCTGCACAGGGCAGGCCAGACAAGCTGGGAGCATGCCCTGCTCCCGGTGCACGTCTGGCCGGAGCCGCTCTGGTAAACACTGGGGGGGGGGGCTCGCGGGCCACAGAAAATCACCCTGCGGGCCGCATGCAGCCCACGGGCCGCGTGTTTGAGACCCCTGGCTTAAACCCAGGGTTGTGAGTTTAATCCTTGAGTGGCCATTTAGGGAACTGGGGTAAAAATCTGTCTGGGGATTGGTCCTGCTTTGAGCAGGGGGTTGGACTAGATGACCTCCTGAGGTCCCTTCCAACCCTGATTCTATAAATACTGCTCAGAAATGTAACTGGGACAAACTGGATAAGTTTTGTTCTGATGCTGTAGACAAAGTTGGAAGCAGCAGCAGAGAAAGTCATGGAGGAGAAGGCACCAAAGACAAAGGCTGCTATGCTACCTCTTTCCCACAGTAGAGATTTCCCTGTCCAGCAGGAGAAGAATTCTCCTTTTCCCAATCTTTCCAAGAGAGGAGAGAGGCTGAGGGTGGGGCCGGGGCCATGTGTGGAATAACAGTAATGAGTGGTGGGTAAATTTTGTAAAGAGAAGTAGAATTGACCAGGCTCAGAAGTGACTTTTCAATCACTTGATTCAGGGCTGCCCAGAAGCGGGGGCAAGTGGGGCAATAGGCCCCGGGCCCTGCAGGGGCCCCCACGAGTATGTCGGAGGCTCCCCCCACCTCCGTCTTCCCCCATTCCCCGGCGTCTCAGCTGGTAAGGGGTCGGGGCTGCGAGCTGCGGCCGAGCGGCGGGAACTCAGGCCCTCCTGGAGACACCACGCTGCTGCAGCACTGTCCGGGGCCGCTCCTGGACGCGGCGCACTGAGGCTCCGGGAGAGGGGGTAAGCGGCATGGGGTCAGGGGGGTGCCCGGCCCCTTACCATTTCCCACAGCCCTGACCCCCCAGCTTTGAGCCCAGCCCCTCTGAGCCAGGTACCTCCCTGACCCCATCCCCCCACAGCCCTGATCCCCAGCTCCGAGCCCCTCTGAGCTGGGCACCCCCCTGACCCCATCCCCCTCACAGCCTTGACCCCCAGCTCCGAGCCCAGCCCCTCTGAGCCGGGCACCCCCCTGATCCCATCCCCCTCACAGCCCTGACCCCCAGCTCCGAGTTCTGACCCCATCTCCCCACAGCCTTGACCCCCAGCTCTGAGCATAGCCCCTCTGAGCTGGGCACCCCCCGACCCCATCGCCCCACAGCCCTGACCCGCAGATCCAAGCCCAGCCCCTCTGAGCTGGACACCCCCCTGACCCCATCTCCCCACAGCCCTGAGCCCGGCCCCGGTGAGCTGGGCACCCCCCAACCCAGAGCCCAGCTCCCCACCCAGCCCTGGGCAACAGCAGCACCACCCCCAGGCAGCGACAGTCCGTTGGCACCAACCATCACCATCACCCAGCAACAGCCCATTATGTAATTGCAATGTATACATACCATTAAAGCATTTAATGTTTTTAAATGTATTTAGTGTATTTTCAAATTATTACAAATTAATTTTTGAATGTATTTCACTGGTTATTTTTTACATTTCCAAATACATGTTACTATAGTATTGCAACTTTTTTTTATGGAAGGGGCCCCCGAAATTGCTTTGCTCCAGGCCCCCTGAATCCTCTGGGCAGCCCTGACTTGATTTTCCACTATCTCCAACCCAAGCAGAAGCTATAGAGCTCTTCAGGGATTATGTCCATATGAAATGTTAAATTTGGTGGCTTAGCTCCCTTGATAAAAATGTGCTTATATTTTTTCCCCTTTATATTGTTTGACATGCATCTTTTCCACTCCGTCCCCAGACCTCAAAAATGGTGTTAGAGATTTTGTTTCCAGAAATTCTCTCTTCAAGCAGAGACCCAGACATAAGTACTGTCTGGCCCAAAGGTGAATGTTTTAGGAACTGATGCACATGTGAAAACAGGAGATTCAAAGAGAAACAGCCTTTGAACTAGAACTGTACCAGGTGCTACCAATCTTATGCTCAGACTTTGCCTGCTACAGTAACCCCGTCTGCACAGGTCCTCAGAAAACTGCACAATCTGTTTTTCTCAAAAGAAACTTACAAAGTCCACCTGTTCCAGGCTTTGCCTGTAGAGCTTTGTCATTAACAGAATTTACTCAAAATATATATTTTGCTTGTCTTTCTGACTTCTCCCAACAGCTCAATGGCATCCCCAAAGAGACTGCAGGGTCTCACAGCAGCTACAATCACTCCAATGACTCCAGATGGGTAAATATTACCTCTCCCCACCAAAAGGGTTGCTGTCAATGTCAATGAATGTATTGTGAACTTTTCCCCAGAACCTTACATTTTCCTACTTGCTTTTCTGCAACTACTTTTTTTTTTTTAAGTTAACTTTCTAACCGTGTTCAACATCCCAAGAAGATAAAGGTTTGTGAAGGCTTTTGTTTGACTGACTAATCCCCTTCCTTACAGTCCTGCAGTACTGGGAGCAGAGGTTAATTTTGTGGTGGGCAGATTACTCAGGAGAGTCTAGGCTGGCTCTCGGAAGAAAAGAAAAAAAAAATCAGGTTGGTTACACTGTAAAAATGGAGTTGCTCAACCTTACCTGCCTTTGATAAGTGCTTTGAGATCTAGGTTTGAACAGTGTTATGTCTGTATTTACACCACTCCTTTCGACTTGTAAACTGAGAAGATTTCATCTGGAGTTATTGAGAGGCCATAAATATGGAATCCAACCCTGATTATTCTTATCACAAGCAAAATGAAGACTGTCCCTTTCTCTCTTTATCCAACCAAAGAGAAAGGGCAAAGTAACATCCACCAGATGCCATTTAACAGCCTGCATCCTGTAACTATGAAGGATGGTTTGCTTAGCTACTTCTTACAGTAGTAGAGTGTATTTATAAAAATAACAACTTCTATTTTTTTTAAGTGCCCAGAAGTTATTCATAGTGCTTCCCTTCTCAAAAGTGCTTAGTTTAATTACCAAAAAAGACACAATGGATTACAGCAACAAACAATTGGTCAGGAGGCAGTGGGGGAATTAAAAGAAAGAGGCATGAAAGTTAGAACTGCACATCTAAATGATCCTGTGACATCTTTTGGCCTATAAATAAATATCCATATGTGTACATACACACTACTTTAAAATGCATTTTTAAAAATTGTTTTATAATCCCACACATCTTTAAATTGGGGTTAAGGTTGCTGAAATGAACACCCAAACTGTGGGCCTTGAGGGCACATGGGAACAGGGGAGTGTGGGTGGCTTCAGTCTTTTCTCAGGGGACATGGGAACAGTTAGCAGAGAAACATCAGGTGACTCTAGACCTGCTCATTATGGTGAGAGCCCAGACCATGCATTCAAGTGGTAAATTGAGTGGGAGGGAGGGCAGGCAAGGTTTCAAAGTGTGTGTGTGTGTGTGTGTGTGTGTGTGTGTGTGTGTGTTGGGGGAGTGTAACTGGGTGGCTTGCTCTTAAGGGCTGGATGGAGGGCCTACAGCTAGTCACCCCAGATCATGAAGGAGTCACACCTAGGTTGAATCAGGGAAGCAGGATGCAGAGAATGGCTGCAGCACATGGCTGCAGCACAATATTCTCTGGTCTCACACACCTCCCTATCTCCCCCACTCACACTGGTGTAAAGTGAGCTTCATGTAAGGGAGAATCAGGCCCCATCTGCCACTCTGACATTGGCTCACTAGCCACATAGTCAGAATAACTAAAAGGTTCTAGGGGTGACTAATTTAAAGTCTGAACCTGATAGAGATGCTGTGATTACACATGCTGTCTGTCTCGCCAGTTTAAGGACAGCTAGACCGTTAGCATTTTGAGTCACACTCCAATGTCCAAAGGGGAACTGTATGGCTGATCAACAACACTACATATTTCATCTTGTTTAGGAACGCTGCATTTTCCCCCCGTGGCCAATATTGAATCGGGAGCTCAGATTTTTTTTTTTTTTTTTTTTAAATCTTGAGCATTCCATTCCAACCTTAATTCTCCTTAAATTACAATGTACAATACAAGAAACACTTAATAATCTGAACATGGTAGAGCTGCTGGAAATGAGCCACTGTATTTTAATAGGGCAGAAAAAACCCCACAAAGCATCTCAGTAGCAGAGGTAAGTGGCTGTGCCAGCGGGTCTTGTTTTGTCTCTCTTGTGTTAAAGCCAAGACCACAGACCATTCCGTCCCTTAAAGGGGTTAAATGGTGAGCATCCAAGAATGTAATGGGGGGGAAACGGTTTTTCCTGTAATATTTTACTCTGAGCCTTTCATCCTAAATGATGTCTTCGTGTGCTCCACAAATTACAAGCATGCAGCACACCAGTAAGATGCAGGGAGTGGGAAAGTGGCACTGGCAACCATCTAGCACACTGTAGAATACAGATGGGGAGAGTAAGGGAAATTTTGACCAAGAACGCTGGAGTTTACCTCTGATCATTGTTTAATTCTGTGACAGCAAAAATGGATCACAGCAGAGCTGGTCAAGATTTCTCAAAAAGTCTAAGTTATATGGAATAAAAGTTTTCCATAAAGGTTACCATTGTTTGAGCAGCTCTAGATCATAGGGTCTGTCTCAGTGATTTCTGTACTCCAGCATGTATCATTTAAAATTCAGACCATGGTTTTTAAGTACTCTTTCTGCAGATTAAGCCTGGATCCTGAGCAAGGAGTTGTTCTCTTCCCATCTCTCACCTGACCACCAGTAACACATATTCTGCAGAGCAAATTATACCTCTAATTGACACAGGCGCAATCCCATTGTCTTCATTAAGTTTGCACAGATTGGAATTTAGCATACAATATCTGGGAGGGGCTTTGCAGGGCAAGCAGCAGTAAAGAGTAGTGAAAATATATGGGTTAGAAACTGCAAAATTGTCAAGGTATGGGCTAGGTCCTCAGCTGATGCTAATTTACATCAGCTGAGGATTTGGTTCTCTGCTTGCCACTGAAGTGAGCAGATATGACTGTGAATACGCAAAGGAATAGCTCTGTCAAAGCAATAGTTACTACTTTTACCTAGTCACTTTTCAGTTAGACCTGCAGTCTTAAAGCACTACAAGATATTAAATGTTTGCCCAGGGGAGAAAGGGCCTTTATTGGGGGGTTTTCAGATACAGAAAAAACAAACAACTGCCTAGAATTGTTTAGCCACCTCTGAATGCCTGAGTGAACTGTGTTGGCGATTGGAGACTTTGGTGTCTGAGAGTCTACTAGTTTCAAACCTGCCATTAAATAAAACATAACTAAGCTTGGTATCCCTCCTAGCTACACTTTATTCCGGGCTTACCCCATGTTCCTTAGATCAATAGTTCTCAAACTTTTTTTTTTTTTTTTTGCGGACCACTTGAAAATTGCTGAGGGTCTCGGCGGACTACTTAATGATCTATCCAAATATTGTTTGTACTGTTCGCTAACTATTATAAAGCACTCTGGATAAAAGCACTATTTGGTCTACAAATAAAAGCACACAACTCATATTTTAATATCAGTAGTCTTACCTTTCCAATGCAATGGATGTGCCCTCTCTCTCCCACACCATGGCAGCCCCCGAGCTGGGGCTGGGAAGGAGGGGGATCTCGCCCCAGCCCTGGAGCTGGGGAAAGTTGCCTCTTTCTCTAGCCACCGCAGCCCTGCACATCCCAAATTCCCTCCACCCCCTCTTCTCACCCCACTGCCCCCTCCCACCTACCTCCTATTCCCGCCACCACCTCACCTTACATGTAAGTCTTCTCAGCGGTTCCCATAAGTAGGTGGGTGGAGGGGTGAAAGTAGAAACAGGGACTTGCTGGGTTGGGGCTGGCTCTGGCCCCCGGAAGGGGCGGGGATGGGGGGTCAGAGCCAGCCCTGGCCCGCCCTGTACTGGTAAGTGCCCTCCCTCTCCCCCGCCGGGGTAGCAGCGGCAGCTGGGGGCTCCGGCAGCAGTCTATTTAAAGGGCCCAGGGCTCAGCCGCCGCTACCGCCCCGGGCCCTTTAAACTGCTGCCGGAGCCCCCCACCTGCCGCTGCTACTCCAGGGCTCCGGCGGCTATTTAAAGGGCCGGGGCCTCTCCTGCTTCTACCGCCCCGGCCCTTTAAATAGCCCCCGGAGCCCTGGGGTAGCGTACCGGCTTACTTTCACCTCTGGGTGGGTGGCCCTTCATTCTCTTGTGTGTAGCCGCCCAGGCGCGCACCTTAGAGGGAACTATCCGCAGACAACCTGAATGGAGCTCACTGACCACTGGTGGTCCACGGACCACAGTTTGAGAACCTCTGCTGTAGCGCTTTCCAGAAGTCCGAGCCAGTCTGGTGGCTGCTGTGTGCTCAGAAGGGCAGCGGTTATGAGACAGAATCAGGTAAACTTGAAAAATAGCGTTCTTATCAAGTCTTCAATATAATATATTATATATATATATATAATTTTTAAAGGCATTAATAAATTGTAGCAATAGAACACGTGAAGCTTTGTGGTTCTGATCGCTGAATATCTGGGTCTTATAGTTCTGTGAATCTCATGCTCTAGGAATCCCAATTTAGGTCTCACATACAGGACACTTTCTAATCTGGCGTTCTCAGCCCCAAATACCCTGTTCAGAAGCTTTTATGTATAGAGGTCTCCACAATTCAGGAAGAGGGCAGCTGAAATTTTTTTTTTAAGCTAGATTTCATACTCCCAACCCCTCTAGGGTATTAGAGGGAAACCTGTTAGAACTTGAACTTGGTCAGGGATTCCTTAAACACATGTTATTTCTGTCTTCCCCTTTTTTATTTTCTTTCTTTTCAGAGAAGTTAACCTCTCTGTGATTGGGCAATATGTGGATTATCTTGTAAAAGAGCAGGGTGTGAAGAACATTTTTGGTAAGTCTTAAGCAGTGAATTGTGCTTCTTGTCAGCCAAGAGCTGTGATGCAATGGAATATGGGGATGGGAGCATTATAAACGTGCACTTAAGTGGAAGAGATCATAGCCTATTCTTTAAGAATCTGTTTTTGCCTAAACTCCCAGTTATGTGCAGGATAGAGCAGAAGATGAGAATGTTACTGGAGTGAGGAAGGAAGCAGAGACCACTACTAGACAATGCCATATTAGGGCATTAAGAAGGATCAAAGCAGTGACAGAAAAGACCCATCTGAATGATTCTATCCACATGCTTGGGCAAGATGTGGTCACCTGATAGACAACATTGGATATGAGAGAGATGCATTTATTCAAATCATATTTATTCAATAGGCACCTTTATCAAATGAGCTTCAAGTCCATTGTCCTCTTACAAGGGTTTCTTCCTTTCTGATTGTGTTGGCCTAGGAGTGTGTGACGCTGCCAGTGGGAGCCAGCTGAGGTCACTCAATCAGGGTGAACTGCAAACAAAACAGGGCAGACAAACCCCAAATGCTGGTGGTTATTCCAATACTTAGATTTACCAAGCCAGCACAAAACAGCTTCTGTAGTACCTCACTGGTTACTCAGAAGTCCAAACCACGCAGTTCCCTTAAAGTACCCAGCCTCAGGCCTCCGTCCAGACACACACGTCAGATATGATGATTACTGAGAATCTTATCATATAAAAGAGAAAGTTCTTCCAATCCCAAAGGCTCAGCCATATACCAAGGTCCAATTATAACTTAGATCTTACCCAAAATACACACTATTAGCCAATTCTTATTAACTAAGCTAAAATTTATTAAAGAAAAGAGAGGGAGTATTGGTTAAAAGATCAATATACATACAGACTTGAATTCAATTCTTGAGGTTCAGATATATAGTAGAGGTGAGTTTGTAGTTGCCAAAAGTCCTTTTAGAAATAGTCCATAGGTTACATTCCAATGTTCATATTCAGGGTGGCTCCAGTCAATGACTGGGGATCTCAATCCTTGTGGCTTAAGGTTTCCCCCTCTTGAAACCCAAAGCAAAACTGAGATGCAGCAGGATCGTGTCCCAGGGTTCTTATACATTTCCAGCAGTCTTTCGGCCTGAGAAAACACTAGGCTTAATTCTCCCTCCAAACATCCTGGCAATTAGCACAGGGTAATTTATTCATTAAACAGTTCAGATACAGGTTACCACAACCTTCAAAGAGACATATAGACAATAACACTGTTTCACTCAAGTATCATTATAAATGTTAATATTCCTTTTTTGATCTTTGAATTAAAGTTATAGCAATAGACAAGACTTGTTTGCTTAAATCACAAGACCTGAGCAAACATCTACCCTTGAGATCTCTAACAATGCAGACTTGCATTTCAAAGTTCTATTCATTTACATATCTTTCTAACCAGTCCTTAAGGTTCAAACATGGGTTAGGTCAGTCTGTGAGTTAATTAACTCTTTCTGGCCCTGTCACCTTTCAATGAGATATTATATTATACTCATAACATCACAGAGGGCATATGCATTTAACTCTTTCAGTGCTATAGTCTCTCTCTCTCTCTCTCATATAAAATATATATATATATATAATCACACAAATTCCGCATGTTTAACTAAAGCACTTTAAAAAACAGTTTATTTAAATCAGTGCAAACCCTTGTGTGGACTTGCATATCTGTTTACAACTGTCCAATATTGGGTTAGTTTGTGTGATTAAATTTCAATAATGGTCTTTAGTCAAACCAGTGCAACTTCTCTGTGTAGGCCAGGCCTTAGAGTGTGTTGTGTTCTGCTTGAAACAGTGAATGGCACAACAGGAGAAGGGCTGTCACTGAGCACCCAGGAGAGGAAGCAGCTGGCAGAGGAGTGGGTGACCAAAGGGAAAAACAAGTGAGTACTCTAAGGAAACTTGTCTGTTCACCTAGACATTACTGCTTGTCTAAGCAAAGGGTGCACCCTCTAATTACTTCCTCTATTTTCTTTCCCTGGCCCTTTTATCAAGATGTTGCTGGTGTTGTCAAAATAAGGGACTATAGAAATGCTTATGGAGGCATGTGGAAGAGAGGCGGTTTTGGAAATGCCCTCTTCCTGTTGCTTAAGTTGGGGGAAGGGAAAGTAATAAGGGATGTGAAAATGAGACCATCTTTGCTGCTTTTATGTTGCCTTAACACAGGCATGAGAGCCTCAAAATCTTTGTATGTATTTATCTTTTCAACACCCCTGTGCAGCAGAGCAGTGCTATTATCCCCATTGCACAAATGGGGAAACTGAGGCACAGAAAGACTAAGTGACTTGCCCAAAACCACACCAGAAGTCTGTGGCAGAGCAGGAAATTGGCCTCATGCCTTCTGAGTCCCACGTTACAACTCTAATCACTGGACCATCCCTCTTCTTGGATGTTTTGCATATTCTCATATCACTCACCTTTGCGCTGTCTCTGACGTCCATGTTGAAAGTGAGTTGTGGGGAGGTGAGAGATGGGGAGGGAGAGAGTGGAATTGTGGGGAAGGAACAGTGAAAATCGGGGGGGGGGGAGTGACAGAGAGGGGAAAACATTTTCACTGAATTTTCTTTTGGGTTTAAACTTCCTGGGCTTTTGTTTGGAGGGAGAAAGAGGGGAAACAAAAATGGGTGGAGTTTTTCCTTGAAGTAGGGGTATCTTGGTAACTTTTGTTAAAAAAAATTCTGGATTCGGGTTTTTTGTTTGTTTGTTTTTGGGTTTTTTTTATTGCTGAATAACTCAAAAAAATTCCTATAGAAAGTTTAAGGGGGAGGAAAAAGAATTTTGAAAATTTCCCATGAAAAATGATTTTTTTAAAAATTTTTAACCTACTCTGTGTGACTCTCTAAGCTTGCTGCATACAATGGGCCTGATTCTCCACAGCCTTGTATCTGGTGCATTCATTTCTACTGATGCAAAATGGTGTCAGATGTTCCAGATCAGAATGATTAGCCCTTTACATAGGGGATGAGACTACACAAGAGACAAAGCAGGGGAGAATCTGGCCCACTGCTTCAGGAAGATCATTTGGCCAGCATGTGGCAGCTCTGGCGATGAGGATCTGAGAGAGCTGCAGAAATAAGATTGTGGGATCAGGGTGTCGAACACCTCTGGGTGGAGGAGGGTACTGGGAAGAAGTGTTGGATGTGTGGCTGAACTTTTTGCTGTACTCTAAAACTTTGTTTCGAGATCCCTTTTAGTTTGTATCCCCACTCCAATGAAGTATCTGCTGTGTGGACAAATAGAGGACATAATTCAGTATGCCAGACAGACAGTCTGGGTACTTTCCCCCACATTTAAATTCCCATAAACCAAAAAGTAAACAGCAACCTTTCAATCTTTCTCTTGTGTAGGTTGGATCATGTGATCATTCACGTGGGAGCATTAAGTCTACCAGAGGCAAAGGAACTGGTGCGTGTGTGAATTGTCTCTTAGCCTCCTTCCTTTGTCTTTCCATAACCTTATATATGAATGGGTTGATCCCCTTTTCTTTTCTGAGTTTATGTGCTTACTGACATGTGCTCTTTCCATGTTATGCTGTCTTGGTCCTGGGGGATCCTGAGAGTACATCTACATGGCAATAAAACACTGGCCTGGGTCAGCTGACTCAGGCTCACAGGGCTTGGGCTGTAGGGCTATAAAATTGCAGTGTAGATGTTTTAACTCAGGCTGGAGCCTGGGTTCTCAGACCCACCCACCTCACAGGGTCCCAGAGCCCAGGCTCCACTCCAAGCCCAAATGTCTATACTGCAGTTTTATAGCCCTGCAGCCCAAGCCCAGTGAACCTGTGTCAGCTGACCTGAGCCAGCCACGGGTATTTTATCAACATAGTCATATCCCTGAGTCTTTGAGCACACAAGCATTGGATCTAATCAGACTGAGTTGGTTTGCTCTACTAGCATCTCCTGGACAGCTGTCCGTTTATGCAGAATTTGTTTGTTTGTATTGCTACAGGGCCTAGAATGCCCTTTCATGGACCAGGACCCCATTGCACTAGGTGCTGTACAAGCACAGAATGTTACAAATAGATTCTCCGCCACCATTTTACTGGGGGTGGAGGGGACTTCCAAATGTGACCTGATGCCCCTCATGTGAACGGCCCCATTCATCTCAGTAATACAATTTACAATGGTCATTAATTATATTACCCACTTTGTTGTGGGTCACTTTAGGATAAACCTCAGGCTCCCCTGGGATTGAGGCTCTCTTGATTTGGTTAACTGGAGGAGCCAGCCAGGCTCCTCTTCACTGCACTCTGGTTGGGGGAAGGTTTAATGAATGGAGGCTTTTGCCCTTTGAGGCTTCGTCCTAAGGGATGAGCTCGTGTCATGAAGTTGCATCAGCTTGTCATGAGGGGATGTTGCTGCCTCATTGACGTATCAAGTAGCATCTGCTGTGCCCTGAAAATTCTCAGGTACCCTTTAACATTCCACCAGGTAGGCATGCAGGATGTGGGATCTGCATTCAACATTGGGATGCTCCTGGAGAAAAGGTGGCAATTAGAAAATTGCTACAGATGTAGTGCTGTCCGGGACAAAAAAAATCCCCTCCACACCAGCCTATGTTGCAAGGAAATAGAGTGTCATTAGTGCTGAGAGAGTGACACTATGATGATGGGCATATGTTAGAAAAACCTAGTTAGGCTTATGATTTTTTTTTTTTTTTTTTTTTTAACCATCCCTAAAGCACAGGCTACTGGTAACACGGCTCCCCTATATCTGCACTTTATTCCTTTGTTTTCCCCCCAGGGCCTCCACTCCTCATTTCCTCCTCTTCTCTGTTTCTTAGGGGGCTTCCATACTCTCTCTCGTCTTCTGACTCAATCTCTCTCTGTCGGCCCCTGTTCACTTGTGCACTGTCTTGCTCGCTCTCATACACACATGTTCTCAGGCCCAGATGGTCCACTCCTGGCCACTTCAGGGGATGTGGGAATCTTAAAGGCAAGTAGTAGCTGAAGGAAGGGAAAATTCTTGAAGAACCTGCTGGTGCTAGAGAGCAGGATTCTATTCCTTGCTTTTGCCACTTACTTCCTGTGTGACTTGAGCAAGTCGCTTAACCTGTCTGTCTCCCAATGTGTAGAATGGGGTCAGTGATACTAACCTATTTCTTGGGAGGTGAGAGCTGTAAGGATGGAGGACCATTCATTAATAAGGCAGAGGTAATAGATATGTGTTTTGTTTAGAAACAGAGGTAGTGCATTACCTTGATGGAAGGGCCCCTTCATCCCTGGCAAAACTGGCACAACTCCCATTGACTTCAGGGTTGAACTTGTTCCATAATGTACAACTTGCTTCTAAGAGTTTAATTCATAGCGGTGGAATGGATTGATGTGGTTCTTCTTCACTATGTGCATGATAGAAACACATGCAGTGCATGTACCTTTGATACATTCTGTTCTCTCCTATTCAGGCCAAACATGCAGCTGCAATAGGAGCCAGTGGTATCGCTGGGATCGCCCCCTTTTTTTTCAAACCTACAAACAAAGGTGAGCAGAGACGTCTGTGGCCATCACATCCACAGAGGCCCTTTTTCTTCTGCAGTTTGCCACACATTCAGGCTATCAGCAGTACGATATGGTAAAGGGAGGTCATGTTTTTTAGAGATCTGTGGCAGCAATGCTGCTGTAGTTGGTCAGAGAATCTGTATCTTTGCTATATGGTTCCTCAATGATAAAACTTCCTTTATAGTGCTTATATTCCTCCTTCAGGTGTTGGGGTTTTTTCTAAGAGGGCAGGTAATCGAGTTTTAACATAGGTCCTGTGTTATAGGCTCCATCTTTACCCTCTGCTGCTCTGGCTCAGAATGTAACCATCCTCACTGTCATATGGACATTCTTTTGGAAACCATTTCTGGAAATAACATTGTTTGAATGCCAGTGGTGTGTTTGGTCTTGGTCATAAGTGAAACTAATTGATGATCTCTTGATGCCTACTGGACACACCAAATTGCATACATTATATTGGCATATTTGACAGTTTCTGCGGAAGCACAGGAGTGGATTAACAGGACCAGTGCATATTACTTGTGAGGTGCAGAACTACTTGGGAGCAGATCAGAGCTGAGGATAAATGATAGAGCTGTGTGGAAGAAGCTTGCAAAACTCTGACCCTAGCCAGTGTTATCAATTTGTGAGATTAGCCCAAAATGAAATAACCTATTGTTGTCTCTTGGTTTTTATACAACACATGTAATATGAAGGAATTACACTGGCCCAGTGGGTTTGAAATAATCATGTTTACTAATCTTATAAACCATTCAAGGCCTAGCTACATATATACACTACTGTTCTGTTGGCTTCTGAAACCTAGACAGTGAGAAACACTAGAGAGCTCACAAACTATTAAAAGCATAGTACCCAATTCCTATATCCTGCACCTATTAAGTGCAGAAGAGATCGAGAAATAGTGTCTCCTTAGAGATAGGGTGACCAGATAGCAAGTGTAAAAAATCGGGACAGAGGGTGGGGGTAATAGACACTGTGACGGGTTGGATCACAGAACCCCCCCCCTTGGAGCTGCCACCCAATGTGCCAAGACTACTTCTACTCCTGCTTTCCCTGCCAGCTCGGAAACCCAGCACCCTGTCTTGCTAAGCCAGACACTCCCATCTACTCCAACTGAGGCTAGGTCTACACTACAGCGGGGGTCCGACCTAAGGTACGCAACTTCAGCTACGTGAATACCGTAGCTGAAGTTGCGTATTTTAGGTCGACTTACCTGGCTGTGAGGACGGGGAAAGTCGACCGCTGCCGCGCTGCCGTCGACTCCTCTGCCGCCTCTTGCCGCGGTGGATTTCCGGAGTCGACGGCAGAGCGATCAGGGATTGATTTTATCGCGTCTTCACTAGACGCAATAAGTCAATCCCAGAAAATCGATTGCCTGCCGCCGGACCCTCCGGTAAGTGTAGATGTACCCAAAGACCCAGGGTCTGAATTACTTCCCCCAAAGCTGCAGGTTTACCTGAAAGCAGCTAACAGAAGTGTTCCTGTCTTTAACACTCATATGCCCAACTCCCAATGGGGTCTAAACCCAAATAAATCCGTTATACCCTTTATAAAGCTTATGCAGGGTAAACTCATAAATTGTTTGCCCTCTATAAGACTGATAGAGAGAGATGCATGGCTGTTTGCTCCCCCAGCTATTAATACATACTCTGGGTTAATTAATAAGTAAAGTGATTTTATTAAATACAGAAAGCAGGATTTAAGTGGTTTCAAGTAGTAACAGACAGAACAAAATAAGTCACCAAGCAAAATAAAATAAAATGCGCAAATCTATGTCTAATCAAACTGAATACAGATAAGATCCTCACCAGTTCCAGAATGCTCCCTTTTACAGACTAATCTTTTAGTCTGGGTCCAGCAATCACTCACACCTCTTGCACACTGTCCTTTGTTCCAGTTTCTTTCAAATATCCTGGAGGGTGGAGAGGCTCTCTTTAGCCAGCTGAAGACAAAATGGAGGGGTCTCCCAGGGGTTTAAATAGACTTTCTCTTGTGGGTGGAGACCCCCTCCTCACTCCTATGCAAAGTCCAGCTCCAAGATGGAGTTTAGAAGTCACCTGGGCAAGTCGCATGTCCATGCATGACTCTGTTTTTACAGGTAGCAACCATTGTTTACATGCTACCTTGAATGTCCTCAAGTAGACTTCTTATGTGGATTGGAGCATTCCAAGATCCATTGTCCTTTAAATGTTTCTTGATTAGGTACTTAATTTGCACATTCCTTTCTCCAGGAACTGACCAATGCTCTACTAAGGTTATTTAGAAATCAAGCCAGGACACAGCCAACATTCATAACTTTGAATACAAAAACGATACATGCATACAAATAGGATTAATACATTCAGTAGATCATAACCTTTACGGAGATATGTTACATGGCATATGTAGCATAAAACACATTCTAAGCATATTTCCATAAAGCCTTATGGGAGGTACTGTCACAGGCACCTGTGTGTGTGTGTTTTTTTAAAAAAAAGCCCCAAATATCTGGACTGTCCCTATAAAATTGGGACATCTGGTCACCCTACTTAGAGATGGCTTGCTGATAAGTCTATGAACCTGAACTCCCCTTTATGTGGATGACCCCCCTTCCCTTGCCTCAGAGTATGATTGCCTTCTTTCACTGCCTCTTTCAGATACGTTGGTTGCTTTCTTACGGGAAGTTGCATCTGAAGCCCCTGGCATTCCATTTTATTACTATCACATTCCTCTTTTAACAGGTGTAAAGAGTAAGTATGTTGCTCATTCAGTGACTCTTGCTCCTATTACATGCAGACTTTCCCTGTTCAAGGGATTTACTCAGAAAACAGTTGGTGAATCTAGAATTAGAAAACACATTTAGCTTGTCTACTTTAGAAAATGTTACTGTGCCGAAACAGGATTGAATGGTCAAATAGGTGCTGTACTTAGTGGGGAAGGAGAATTAATAACTCTTGATATCAAAAAGGATGAAGTATTTAATGCCTATTTTGCTTCAGTCTTTACTAAAAAAAAGTTAATGGTGACCAGATACTCAACACAATTAATACACCGGACTCTTGCTAGAACACGCGTCTATACAGCACAAATTTGCATATAACACGGTCGCAGCCATGGATCCCAAATTTAATTACTTTAATTGCAATTCATTTTAACACGGTCCCCACGTTAACGCAGTACCATGCATGGATACCAAATCCCGCATTCTAGTGAGGGTCTGGTGTATTAATAAGGGGGAAGGAACTCAAGCCAAAATAGGGAAAGAGCAGATTAAACAATATTTAGATAAGTTAGACATATTCAAGTCAGCCGGGCCCGATGAAATTCATTCTAGGGTACTTAAGGAACTAGCTGAAGCAATCTCAGAACCATTAGCAATTACCTTAGAGAACTCATGGATGACGGGTGAAAGGCGAACATAGTGCCTATCTATAAAAAGGGGAACAAAGAGGACCTTGGGAATCCTAGACCAATCAGCCTAACTTCAGTACGTGGAAGGATACTGAAACAAATTATTAAAAAATCAATTTCTAAATATATAGAGGATAAGAGTTATAAAGAATAGTAAGCATGGATTTTTCAAGAACAAATCATGCAAAACCAACCTAATTTCCTTCTTGGACAGAATTATTGGCTTAGTGGGTGGGGAGGAAGCAATAGATGTGATTGTAAGGCTTTTGACATGGTATCACATGATGATCTCCTAAGCAAACTAGGGAAATGTGGTTCAGATTAAATTACTATAAGGTATGTCTGGAACTGGTTGAAAAGCCATACTCCAAGAGTAGTTATGAATGGCTTGTTATCAAACTGAGAGGACGTATTTAGTGGGCTCTCAGAGGAGTCAGTCCTGAGTCTGGTACTACTCAATATTTTTATTAATGACTTGGATAATGGAGTGGAGAGGATGCTTATAAAATTTGCAGATAACACCAAACTGAGAAGGGTTGCAAGCACTTTGGAGGACAGGATTAGAATTCAAAACAACCTTGACAAATGGGACAATTGATATGAAATCAACAAGATTAAATTCAATTAAGACAAGTGCAAAGTACAACAGTTAGGAAAAAATCAAATGCCCAAGCACAAAATGGGGAATAACTGGCTAGGTGGTAGTACTGCTGAAAAGGATCTGGGGTCACAAATTTAATGAGTCATCAATGTGATGCAGTTGCAAAAAAGGCTAATCTAAGTCTGAGGTGTATTAACAGGTGTACCTCCCATGTCTGGTTGTACGCAAGACATGGGAGGTAATTGTCCCAGTCTACTCTGCATTGGTGAGGCTTCAGCTGGAGTACTGTGTCCAGTTCTAGGCATCACTCTTTAGTAAAGATGTGGATAAATTAGAGATCATCCAGAAGAGAGCAACAAAAATGGTAAAGGTTTAGAAAACCTATTCTCCAAGGAAAGGTTAAAACAACAGGACACGTTTTAGTCTTGAGAAAAGAAGATTGAGGGGCAGACCTGATAACACCTGAAGTATGTTAAGGGCCGTTACCAAGATGACTGTGATCGGTTCTCCATGTTCAGTGGAGGTAGGAGCAGAAGTAATGGGCTTACTCTGCAGCAAGGGAGATTTAGGTTAGATGTTAGGAAAACCTTTCTAACTCTAAGGGTGGTTAAGCTCTGGAATAGGCTTCAGGGAGGTTGTGGAATCCCTACCATTGGAGGTTTTTAGGAACAGGTTGGACAAACGCCTGTTCGGGATGGTCTTGGTTTACTTGGTCCTGCCTCAGCATAGGCAGCTGGGCTAGATGACTTCTGGAGGTCCCATCCAGCCCTACACTCCTATGAGTCTATAAGATAAAATGATGCTGACTATGACATCGTGACCAGTGTAGACCAGGACAGGTTACGTTTAGCATCATGTCTGCTAACCATGGTTAAACCCTGCTTCCAGCAACCTTTCACCACACCTAGCTGACAGTGATAACCTCCACTTGTGCTGCTCAATACTGACCGCATAGTCCTGGTTAGCTAACTGAAGTACTAATCACATTCAGCCACAATAAATTTTTCTAATGTAGACAAGTCCAGACAAGTTGGCAGTGCAGCTGAGAATTGAACTTAAGTTTTTTGACTCCCTTGCTCTAGGCACCAGACCGTATAGCCTCTTTGAATATATTTTTAAAGTGTAGCTGCTGGTTCATTTCTGAACTGCGTATCTAACTGTATTTCGCAGTTTCTGAACTAAGATTAATACTCAAGAAGGAAATAAGACATCTGATAGATATTAATGAAATCACTGCTGTGTAACAGGGCACAAGCCAGGAAATAGACAATGGGGGAAAAAAAGAAAATGCAGGTAGCAGAATTATAGAAGCTGTTCAGCTTAGATGTGGATGTGTCCCACATGATCTTGCTTATTGTCAATAAGCAGCAAGTATGTAATACGGGAGTAGGTATAAATGAGAGGGGGTAGTGACAATTCTATATCAATGGTACATTTCTCCTAACATGCATTTGTGCATCTCTTCATATATTCCAGAGTTACTTTACTGGTTCCTTTCAAGCTATTTAAGTAACCAAGCTCTTACATTTAAACCGTAAAGAAAATGTTGGAAAGCAACAAGTCTGCCTCTGATTACCTTGTGTGAGGGGAGGGAAGGGTCCTGACTCTGCTCAAATGAAGACTAGTAAGGCTTGAGTGACAATGATGACCCTTTGAGGAGGAGATCAGGGACATCTTATGTGACTGGAATGTGTTTCTTGATGTGAGATTGTTGTTCTGTGCAGTTCGTGTTGAGGAGCTGCTGGATGGTATAAAAGAACAGATCCCCACCTTCCAGGGGGTGAAGTTCAGTGACACAGACCTCTTGGACTTCGCGCAGTGTGTGAAGAACAACAAAGAGCAATTTGTGCTACTCTATGGGGTGGATGAGGTAAGGGGCTCCACTTTTAATGATCTCCTCTAAAAACCATGTGGCTTATGCTAAGACGTATCCTGGTTCCAACCTGAACAATTACTACCCAGTGCGAATTGAATTCTAGCCATGTTCAGGACCGCGAGTTGTACTGCTCATTCTTCCTTTGCTTTTTATTATATGAAGTAAAATGCTTTTTTCCCCCCACAAACTAGCATCTGCTGAGTGCACTGGCAATAGGAGCATCTGGGGCAGTTGGAAGGTCAGTCTTTTTGCATTCCTGCTCCATTTGTTGCCATATTTACCACTATCTGTCTATGTATTGTAATTATATGGCCCCCATTACTGTAATACCCTGAGTACCTCACAATCTTTAATGTATTTATTTATCCTCACAACATTGTTGTGAGGCAGGGTTGGACTATTACCCTCTTTACTGAGGGGAACTGAAGTTCAGAGAGACTAAAGAGACTTCTGTGTGATCTTGGGGAAAGTGGAGAAGGGAATCGAACCTAGGTCAGGGTCAGTGTTTAAGCACTAGACAATCCTTCCTCCCCCACTGAGGAGGCGTAAATGAGTTACCATACCGCATTGCAATTCATGTGTACAATATATAAATCACAAGTGACAAGTAAACAAAGTGATTGTTCCCCAGAATGGCTAACTGATTTTTTTGTTCTTGGAAAAACAATGTCATTTGTAAAGGATGATGGGAAGAAAACACTTAATTGTAACACTCTTTTTCATTGGCAGCAGTCATGCTTTTAAGGCTCAACTATATACAATATGTTTCAGACCACGTGGAGTTTCTAGATCGGAATGATTACGTTCTGAAAACAAAATATTGCACTAGAAAGCCTGGGACGACTTGTTTGTTCTGGTTGCGGTGGCTGCTCTAAGCACCTCTTGGCACAACTGACTTTACTTTGTTTTTTTGGCAGCACATACAACTACCTGGGCAAAAAAAACAACTTGATGTTGGAGGCTTTTGCAAAGCAAGACCTTGCATTAGCACAACGGTATCAGGTACAGCATCTTTACCTGCTCCCAGTGGGAGTGTCCTCTCTCCGCTGCCCTAAACTTCTCTTCACTGGGCACCATTCATTCTGTGGCTTCCCACCACCACCACTTTAACCACCTAATCTCTCACCACTATGTTCACACACAAACAATCTGTTTGTCTGGTACACAGCTCCCCTTTTCTCAAACCGATCCAGGCACAAACCCCGCTATTTTAACTAGCCAAGGCACAGCTCACCTTTCTTCCCCTGGTGTAACCTCCCCTTCAGCCCCCAAAACCCTATGTGGAATGGGCACTGTCCATCTCTTCCCTCATAAACAGTCTAACCTAGATAGGTCTGTTTGTTTCCCCCAGTCACATACATGTTTTGGCTTAGGCAAACCTGTTCTAGGATCCTCTTGTCCCATTTCCAATCAATGTTCTTCTCATCCACCCTCCTTCCTCTTCCCTTCCTGTCCGTGTGCACACACCTATCTGCTGACTAGTCTGGAGACTGCCTCCTGCCTTTCTAACCTGGCTGAGCACCCCCTTGCTGATTGATAACCACCATTCAAATACTCTCCATCTATAGGGCTCCATGCCCAATCTCTTTTAAGGGGTGGTTGTCCTAGTCATCTTTTTAACCATTCCAGATGGGTCACTGTCCACTCTACTCACTTTTTAACTAGTCTTGGCAGTTTCTTGCCCCTCCCTCATCAGTTGCTTATGGGGAAAGGAGGTTAGGCTGGACCAAGCATCATCTCTTTCCTTCTTGTCTCTCTTCTCCTGCTTCCCCTCCACCTCCCCCACACCACTGAGATTGGGCTTTCTTCCTGGTTAACAGTAGGCAATAGCATTCTGCACAAGGGTTCTCCATCATGCAGGGTTTCTCAGGTCACTATGCCATTATCCTTCTTGCTCAACATGTCGGAGGCCATAGCGATGGTGTAGTCAATATGCAAATGATACACAATTTTCTATCGCAGTCTTGGGCAGCTGGGGCACTTCTCCTTTGTTCTAAAAGAGAGGGACTGGTGGCAGGAGCATGGGGGGGCTATGTTCAACAAAGGGTCCTCTACTCTGGAAAGGACTTCCTGTCTGGAAGTCTAGAAGGGCACGGTGCACCAGTTTCCTCAGACTGTTGTGTTAAGGGCCAAGTTGAATAATAAGGATGGCCTGAATGGGGAGTGGTTCATTGAGGTGGGAGCAGTTCAATGGGGGGGTTTGGAGCTGTGGATGATGTTGTTTACTTAAGAAGGCATGCCAAATGTACTGGGGACTTTCCCTTTGCTATGTCATGTGTATAATTGTTATACAAGCATCCAGAGCTGTTAGAATATGTCTTGTAAATATGAAGAAGTGAATTAAAAAATACTGTCTGTTTCTCTTCTAGTTCTGTACTGGAGAATTTCTCAGCTTTGTATTCAAACTAGGTAGGTGTTGCAATATCTTCCTCCCTCACTGTGTTATAAAACAGGAACTGAAAATCCATGAGCTTCACTGAAGTTTCCAGGTCCCTGCAACCTGAGAAGCTCCCTTTTGAAAGGTCTTGTGCAAAGAGAGACCTCACATCTGCTGTTACTGCTTGAGTTATCAGCAGTTGGGAGTTCAATGACTGAGCTGGTAAAGCACATCCAGAAAGATTCTACTCACTCTTCCCTCCTTTCTCCAGGCTCTCTGACAAATTCCCCAACTTCAAAAAAACAATTTTTTTATCCTGACTATCCATTTTTCTTAAGTCCACTCTGTGTCACTCTTACTGAGTGTTCTCAATCCCAGACAAGATAATAAAGTGCCCTGATGACAAAGCACGGGGGGCCTGATTCTTCTCTTATGTTGTGTGGCAAGGTACCTTCTCGGTCTCACCAGGCTCCGCTGCTTTTAGCCTTGGTGAGACAGGCTTGGATAAAACAGTCCCTCTTGGTTGCACAGAGGAAGTCCGTTCCTTCTCTCCACCAGTCTTTTGGGAGGGAATGCAGCCTCCCCTCCTGGTGAGGCTCACTGTCTCACTGCGCCTAACCTACTAGCAGCATGACTCCTTCTCTCGCTCCCCCTCTTCTCTCAACGGGGAGGGTTTAAAAGGGTCTTGGGCAGCCCTTAGTTGGAATCAGCTGATCCTAATTGACCTCAGGTAACTCCCTCTCAGCTGATCCTAATTGATTCTCTGGTAACCCCTTCTCAGCTGAACCTGATTGACCTGTAGTTACCCCTCCTCAGTTGATAGGGAGGAGGGCCTTTTAACCTTCTGGGACTGTTTTCTACCCCTCCCCGCCTTGCAGCTGTCTGTCCTGAGTTTATCACAGTTGGTATAACTTAAGAGTAACTCCACTCAAGTGAGTGAGTTTTACACAGGTATAAGTGGTGTAAGTGAGAGGACAATCAGGCCCAAGAATCTAGACATCCATTTATGAGAAAAATAACAGTGTTTTTACATTGTAGGCCTACTCCCCTTGTGCTTTCAAAACTATATCTATTGACTTTGCTGGCAAAAATACATGTTTTCTCCTGTTAACCCTGCAGAGCCATCACCGCTTTGGGTGAGAGAGGCAGATTCTTTCTGGTTTGCACATAATCAAGAGAATTATTAACTGAATTCTAACTACAGAATCTGTATTACTTCTTTCAGAGTAGCAGCCATATTAGTCTGTATTACTTCTGATACTATATGTAAGCCACAAAGGACATGGTTGGGCTTTCGGTTCCTAGGTTGTTTGCTGGGCTGAGAGTTAGATGATACATTTTATCTATAAAGATTACCCTAATTTGATCTGGAAGTCCTGGAAAAACAAGTATGGGAACCCTCACAAAGCCACACTTAGAGTCACTTTTCAGAGCGTAAGCATGCATTACTAAGGAAATATTGTACTTGGGGCATTTTGGAGGAGAATATGGGTAGCTAAGAGTGGTTTGTACTATAATACAGGATGGATATTAACTCTGTTTTCTGTCTGCAAACATCACTTGCTGATTACATCTTTCTCCCTTGTGGGAATTTAAACTCTGGCCATATTCTAGGGTTTCACAAGAGATGGAATAGTTGGTGCGGTTGGTATTTTAGAGCCCTCTGTAGTGACTGTCTTTTATTTAAGTGATATATTTAAGTAACCTGCCTTTTTTTTTTTTTTTTTTTTTTTTCTTTTTCTTTTGCCTACCTAGGTTTTGGTGTTGCACAAACTAAAGCAGTCATGACTTTTACCTCAGGGATTCCAATGGGTCCCCCACGGCTTCCGCTCCTGAGTGCCTCTGTGGATTTTATTGAGAAAGCAAAAGCTAAAATGGAGAGCCTGATTGTGTGACTGTCCCAGCAGTTGATCTGATATTAATGTGGATCTGGAGGTTTGGGGCCTCTGCTTTTGTGATTCATCACTCAAAGGGTTCTCCTTGGGGAACACACTGACTCAATGAGATTTCCATCAGTGAATTTGTAATAAGTGGTTTCCTAACAGGGATGGCCTTGTTAGCCTATGTCTTGCTTTCTTTCCTTTAGTATTACCCAAAGGGGGAACCTTTATAATACAGGTGAATTCTGTTTATCTGAATGGCCTGGAGGACATCCGAGACCTTTGGATAACCAGGTGTTCAGATAAATGGAAGTGCTATTTTTAGCTGCAGTTTCACAGGTCTGGTCTACACTTCAAATTGAGGTCAGCCTAGCTACGTTGTTAAGATGCCCTAACCTTTCTGGTAGATGTGGCAAGGTCAATGGAAGAATTCTTCTGTTGACCTAGCTACTACCTCTCGGAGAGGTGGATTACGCCTATTGAGGGGAAACCCCCTTCTGTCGCTGTAGGAAACGTCTACGCTATGGTGCTCCAGCGGCACAGTTCCAGTGCCATATCAGTGCCGCTTGAGTGGCTGTAGTGTAGACAAAGCCACTGTTTCATACTGCAGTGATGCCAGTCCCAGAGGGAGGAGGGGAGAAAAGGATCTGGTATCACTGCGGAATGAAAGGGCGGGGAGGGGGAAGGCAAAGAGGAGGATGGGAGAGAGAAAAGAAAGGAGGTAGAGGGGAAGGAGCCGCAGGAGACAGGAGCCTTCTTGACAGCCCAGGATTCCACAAGCACCAGTACAAATACTGTAGTGAGGGGTACAGCTGCCTGGCTCCCTCCCCCACAGCTGTCAGTGCTAGAACCAAGGAGGTTCTTGTCTCCTGCAGCTATTCCCCCTCTCTTAACTACATTTTGGATCCCCAAGAGTGTGATCTGAAAGAACAGTGTATTCCCCCATGCACTTAATGAGCCGCTAAGAGGTTATCTGAATGAGCACAATTAATCGGGATATTCAGTTAATTGACATTTGAACTTTGCCTGTAGTTGCCTCTGCCCTATGGTGCACAAAAGCAAGGTATGCTTCTAATGAAGCAAACGTATAAGGGTATGTCTGTACTGAAAATGCTACAGCAGCACAGCTGCAGTACTTCAGCGTAGACACTACTTACCCCGATGGAAGGGGTTGACATAAGTTATACCAACATAAGTGGTAGTGTAGACATAGCCTGACTCTCTGCTGAGGAGGAAGGTTCCTTGCTGGAATTCTGAGTTCCTCTGGAAAGGGAAGAGGACTCTCTGACTTCCAGAATTTCCGTCTACTATGACAGTCCCAACCCCCCCCCCCCCCCACACACACACACACTTTTTATGATGCTGGGACATGGGTGAAGTAATGTGCCTCTTGTACTCTGACATGACATCATTCTGCTCAGCCTGGTATTTTAGTGCAGCTGTTATGTCATATAAACCTACAAAAACTCCATTTTTACCAGTGAGTAAAAGGAATCAGGTTAATGTGCCCAGAACTCCCAGAAGACATTCTTCTTCCATAGGCTTCTTTCCCTTTATCTCTCCCCTCCATTTTCTTGCTCTCCCTGTATTTCCTCAAATAAAAAAATTAAGTAACTCTTGTGACAGAAGGCACTTGCTCCATTTTGTTCCCAGCATGTGCTGGCTAAAGCAGCACCAGGAATTGAACCAGAGGTTCTACATGGCAATGCAAAGCACTACCACTTCTTACAAATGTCATTTATTGCTGATGTTAAAGGGCCCTCTCCACATATTGGACCTAATGCGCCACTACACCCTGTGTATTTGTTTACACCTTGGCAAAATGCTACCATCTAGGTGCCTGGAGAATTTTGATTTGGTAGCATTTTATACCCACTTTGCACAGGTAAGAATGACTGCATGTACAAGGCAGGGAGAATCAGGTCTGAGAATCTGGTGATCTGTTGCTATTTTAGTATCCAAGGATTCTGGGTAACCTGGAGAGTAACATTCCATTAATTTCTTCAGTTTGGCAGTAATAATCTCACTTTCTATCTGCAGAACACAAACTGTAGAAGCCCTGACTGAGTTAGATGATTGACAAGATTTTTCTCTTGAATCTGTAAGGCATGTAGGTAAGCTTCCCTGGTGGGTCAAACATGGAAGAAGGTGGCCTCTGAAATAGCAAAGAGCACTGCACATTTGCAGCTGTTCCTTGCACAACCAACCATTGATTGGCACAAGCGTGCAGAGAGCCAGCATGATAAAAATCATAGAAAAAAATAAGACTGTGTGCACACTCCCAAATTCAGCTATTTTAGGAGAACTCTACTGTGTATTCCTTAAAGCTTTTACTTTGATGTTTTTAGATTCTCTAATCCAAATGAGATTCTCTATTGCTGTTCCAATGTTATGCACATAACAATACACTGTTACTTACTTTCTGCATATTTTAATATAATATATAGATGCATCTAAACATGAAATCTTCAATTGAATAACTTTTCTAACAGACCCAAATTATTCCTGGTATTTTTAAGTCTGTCTTGCTCTGTTTATACATATCTCCAGATATTAAACTGTGTTTACATCTGAAATTTTGTTTAATGTTTCAATGAAATTTCTGTATATTTTCTTAGTGATCATTAAAAGCATTCTTAAAAACATTTGCCTCTGTTTCCTCCTTGGAAAAATGCTCTTGAGGGGGCAGAGGTGGATGGGTCAGAGGGGACTGTTTTCTAGTCTCTCAAAATTTAGTAATATCTTCCCCTTCCTCTCATGCTCCTTCAGGAAGATAATCTTAAGGATGGATGCTGCAAGCACTTAAGCACATGCTTAACTTTACCCATGTTAGTAGTCCTACTGAAGTCAATGGTACATCTTGCATGAATAAAGTTTAAGCACAAATATGCCAGCAAGATCAGGATCTAATCTCCTCCTTTAAAACTCAAGTATGGGAAAGATTGTGCCTGCCTTAACTCACTTTCAGTTGCTTTTTGACCTGCACCCTCTTCCAAACTACCGTGAATCCTAGTACCTTCTATCTGTTCTCTCAGAAAGTCAGTGGAAAGTGTTCTTGGGTTTTCATGTGGTTTTAAGAAATCTTCAATAAGGAAAAGTGCAAAGTACTTTGTTTAGGAAGGAAAAATCAAATGCACAGCTATAAAATGAGTAACTAGCCAGGAGGTAGTACTACTGTAAAGGATCTGGGGTTATAGTGGATCATCAATTGAATGAGTCAAGAATGTGATGCAGTTGTGAAAAAGGCTAATACCATTCTGGGATATATTAACAGAATTTTTATATGTAAGACACGGGAGGTAATTGTCCTGCTCTATTTGGCACGGGTGAGGCCTCATCTGGAGTACTGTCCAATTCTGAGCACCACCATCTAGGAAAGATGTGGATAATTTGGAGAGAGTCCAGAGGAGAGCAACAAAAATGATAAAAAGGTGTTGCAAACTTGACTTATAGCCGGGTTTAAAAAAAAAAAAAAAAAAAGGCATGTTTAATCTTGAAAGACTGAGGTAGGACCTAAGTCTTCAAATATGTAAGTGGCACTTGCTCTAAAGAAGATGGGGATCAGTTGTTCTCCATGTCCAGTGAAGGTAGGGCAAGAAGTTAATAGGCTTAATCTACAGCAAGGGAGTTTTAGGTTAGAACATTTTCCTTAATATCTAACTCTAAAGGTAGCTAAATTCTGGAAGAGGCTTCCAAAGGAGGCTGTGGAATCCCTTCTCTGCGATGCCTTCTCAGGGTGCCCAGAACCATAAGCCACTGTGCTGCCTCTGCCTCCGCAAGAGCGCTTTGCTGGGGCTTAAGCTGTGTCAGCTCTGATACACCAGCCAGCCTTACCAGCAAACTCCTTGAGACCCTGCCAGTCTAAATCTTGCCTTGCAGGTAACGTTCAGTGAACTCCAGTTACCAGGCTCCCCAGAGAGGTCTCGGCAGTGTCCAGTTCCTCTCACTAGACACTCACATTGTCATAAACGTACAGCTAAGGGTAACATAACATCCCCCTTTACCCTGTGCAAAGGGTTAATTCCTTTAACCTGTAAAGGGTTAAGAAGCTCGGATAACCTGGTTGGCACCTGACCAAAAGGACCAATAAGGGGAGAAGATACTTTTAAATCTGTGGGGGAAGGTTTTTGTTTGTGTCTTTGTTTTGTTCTCTCAGAGTCAGCAAAGGAACCAGGGCAGGGCAAATATATCTCCCTAAGCCATATCTGGACTAAGCATCTAGTATTGCAGAAATAGTACATAATAGCAAAGAAATGAGTTAGATTATCTTTCGTTTTAGCTTGTGAATTTTCCCTGTGCTAAGAGGGAGGTTTATCCCTGTTTTTGTAACTTTAAAGTTTTAACTAAAGGGGAAATCCTCTGTGTTTTTGAATCGGATTGCCCTGTAAAGTTATCTTCCATCCTGATTTTACAGAGGTGCTTCTTCTACTTTATAATAAAGTCTGGGGGTTTTGTTTTTGTTTTTAGAATATGATTGGGTTTTAGTGTCCTAAAACCCAAGGGTCTGGTCTATGCTCACCTTGTTACCTATCTGGTTGGTAGAGTATTCTCAAGCCTCCCCAGGAAAGGGGGTGAAGGGCTTGGGGGGGGGGGGGGGGAGGGAATATTTTGGGGAAACAGGAACTCCAAGTGGTCCTTTTCCTGAATCTTTGTCTAACTCACTTGGTGGTGGCAGCATACTGATCAAGGACAAGGTGGAATTAGTGCCTTGGGAAAGTTTTTAACCTAAGATGGTAAAAATAAGCTTAGGGGGTCTTTCATGCAGGTCCACACATCTGTACCCTAGAGTTTAGAGTGGGGAAGGAACCCTGAAGTTTGTCTCCAAAGAGACTGTGTGCCCACCAGCCTTTTAGCTCAGTTGAGGATTGAAGTACATCCTCAGCTGAACTAACAGTATTTTATATCCAACCCCCGACCCCCTTTTTTTTTTTTTTTTTAATTTCTTTTCTGCAAAATAATTTCAACTTTTTATCCCACCTGGTAGGATGGAAATTCCAAAATTCTCAGCTCTACTTATTACTGGTTAGTTCTAGGGCTGCAAGTCACAGTACTAGCTCTGAAATTGGTTTTCAACGTAGAGCATAGCTACACTTGCAGATGTAGAGCGCCGGGAGTTAAACCAGCCGTTGGAGACCACAGCAGGAAAGCGCTGCTGTGGGTTCACGCTGACAGCTGCAAGCTCAGTGGCGTGGCCACATTTGCAGCACTTGCAGCGACATTGGGAGCGGTGCATTATGAGCAGCTATCCCACAGAGCACCTCTTCCCATTCTGGTGCTGAGGCTTGTGGGAAGCGGGGGGGTGCGGGGCATCCTGGGTCCTGTCGCAATGCCCCATGATGCATTGCTTCGCATCCCAGCAATCCCTTTGCTTCCGTTCACATTTGGTGCCATCTTTCAAAGGTTTTTGTACTGCATGCTCTGTCTTCCCTTTCGGTCTGCGGGAATGGATCCCAAACTTGTGAGGAATATGCTGATGGATCTCGCCAGCACGTCACGAATTGCAGTCGAGTTACTCCTTAAGCTACAAAGTGACAGTGAGGAGTCCGATGTCGACCCGCATAACGCATACGACACGAGATTGCTTGTGGCATTCACGGACATGCTCACCACAGTGTAACACCGCCTTTGGGCTTGGGGAAACAAGCACTGAGTGGTGGGATCACATCGTCAGGCAAGTCTGGGATGACGAGCAGTGGTTGCAGAATTTTCAGATGAGGAAAGCCACTTTCATGGGACTGTGTGCTGAGCTCGCTCCCACCCTGTGATGCACGGACATGGCATTGAGAGCTGCCCTGTTGCTGGAGAAGCGCATGGCTATTGCAATCTGGAAGCTGGCTACTCCAGACAGCTACTGATCAGTCACTAACCAGTTTGGAGTGGGAAAGTTGGCGTTGGAATCGTGTTGATGCAAGTTTGCAGGGACATTAATTGCATCCAACTCAGAAGAACCGTGACGCTGGGCAATGTGCGTGACATTGTGGCTGGCTTTGCACAAATGGGTTTCCCTAACTGCAGAGGGGCGATAGATGGGACGCATATTCCAAGACCACCTAGCCTCTGAGTACATAAATCGAAAGGGGTATTTCTTAATGGTTTTCCAGGCACTTTTGGATCACCATAGGTGTTTCATGAACACTAATGCAGGCTGGTCCGGAAAGGTGTATGACGCATGCATCTTTCGGAACACAGGCCTGTTCAGGAAGCTGCAAGCTGTGACTTTCTTCCCAGACCAGAAGATCACCTGTAGGAGAAGTCGAAATGCCCATTGTGATCCATGGAGACCCTGCCTACCCCTTAATGCCGTGGCTCATGAAACCCTACACAGGAAGTC